ATGAGACCATGCGGCCTCACTTCCTCCAGTAGGACTCTTCTCTAATCCAGTTTATCAGTCTTGGTGCTTCCTGGCCAACATATCCAGGGATTAAGGAGACCCAAGGAGGCAAGGCTGACTCTGGTGAGCAGAGAGGGCACTGCTGACAGTTTTGATCTGTAATGTCCTCCCAAGACCTATGGGCCACTAAAGGCCCAGCATGGTACTACTAGGAGGTGGTGGACCTTTAAGAGGTGGGGTCTAGTAGGAGGTCTTCAGCTCTTAGGGGTGTGCCCTGGGTATGCCCCAGCCCCTTCCTTTTCCTTTTCTGCACCATGAGGTGGAAAGCTTGAACTTTGAACACTGTGAACTCTGCCCCCCCTGTGATTTGTGACCTTGCCACAGGCTCAAGAACAACAGGGCCAACCCACCAGGGTCTGAAACCTCCAAAACTGTGAACCCAAGTAAACCTTTCTTCTTTGTCATTTGATCACCTCAGGTATTTGTTAGCGTAACGAAAAGCTGACCAACGTAGGCAGCCATGGGGTGTGACACCCCAAGCTTCCCTAGGGAGAGGAAAGCACACATAGCCTGAAGTCATTCATTCCCCAAGTTGGTCCACCAAGCTGTGTGTCCATCCTTCCCAGGTGATGTAGGATACCTGGTTCGGCAGGGTCAGGGTAAAACCTCATTTAGTAACCGACTGAAGGAAAAATGAACATCCTAGCAAGCAAAACATGATCTCCAAAAGGTAGAGCTGTGTATGTCCAGGCATAAAGAAGTCAACAAATTTTTTAAAAGTTAGATCCATTCTGTAGTGATACCCTCAACATATGGTTGAGAAGAAGGAAAGTAGGTTGCAGAGTAGCATGCACAGAAAGATTCAATTTCAGTGAGAACCAAATACGCAATCCACACGGCCCCGTGCCTGTTCATACACCTGTAGATATTTAGATGCACAGAGGAATAGCAGGGCTTTTAACTTTAAGTCCAGCTACCAGATATGAACACTAATTGCCAAGGTGTGTCGGGGGGGGGGGACATAGGATGAGTGTTCTACTCGTCTTTGCATGATATTAATCTACTCCTTTAATCAAGGAAGAATTGCTTTCATAATATGTAAAAATCAAATAATCAATAAGATTTTTTAAATGACTCACTTAGCACCATGTGAGGGGGGCGGGCCTATATGAAAATACCATTTCATTTTCTCTCCTTCTTCTCCTTTAGGCAGCTCCTAATTGTCCATTTGAGGATGATCAAAAGAAATATTTAATTCCATGTGAAGGGTTTTGCATACTTTTCCTCCCTAACCATTAGAAAAGAACTTCATTTTAACATGATTCTATGGATAATATATATCTGCCACCAAAAAAGATTTGCCTCTAAAAATCTATAAAAACTATGCAACACATTCTGTAGTAGAAGAGCAAAGGTGGGAATTACCTGCTCTTTGCTAAATCTATGACCATGCTTCCCTCTATTACTGTGCTAATGAAAGCCAGCCATACCAAGCCAACTCCCAATTATCTTGGCACATATATACAAAAAGCTCAGGGAAGCCCAAACCCAACTTTTCACCACATCTGCTCACAAGAAGTCAAAGAGTTGGTTTTAAGTTTCTTCCATCTTTCCCCATCCCTGGCTAGTCACTAGTAGAAGTGTTCCAGATGGTAGGGGCCCTCAGAGAACGGAGGGATGAGGACACCAAGTGTCTACACAGTCTGCAAACTGGGTAGCTCTCGCCCATTGGGCTGGTTGAGGGTATTGGCTCTTGCAATTCCATCCACACTGGAGCACATCTTATTCCTCAAGGGTTGACCCAGAGATTACTGCATTGGATTAAGGGTCTAACTGATGCCAATTGGCTACCCAAGTGTGGATTCTACCCTGCAATTTGAGTTTTATGAACTCCAGTTGTGTAGAAGGCTTGGAGACTTAGTCCTTCCTTGACTGTTAAATCCATGACAGAGCTGTGTGCCAAGTTCATGGAATTAAAGAGGAAGGAGTGGTTGTTAGGAGGCCTGCAGAGAGAGCTTGAGAGAAGGAGACAGCTGAGTAAGCTTGAAGGATGAGTAGGCCAGGAAGATAGGACTGGGGAAGGGTCTTTAGGGTAGAGAGATCTAAGGGTACAGAAGAAGAACATTCTCGTGACTAGATTCAGTGCCTCAAGACCTACATCTACTCTTAAGGAATGATGGGAAGTATTGACTGACAGCAGTGATCATACAGGAGCAGCTCATTCATGTACTCTGGGATCTGACCCATGCTGTATTGATTCTGAGCCACAGAGAAACTGGAAATGTTGCCTGCTCCTAATCCGCCTTCTTGGCTCTCCCCTTCTGTCTTGAAAGGACACCCCATATCTTGGAAATCTCAGGTTGGTCTTCACACACAGACTTACTTACTAATTTGCTCCTATACAGCCTTTGTTCTGTCTCATGATAATGGATTGAGATTTACTTAGTTTCCTCTCTTCTTGGCTAACCATCATCCTAGCCAAGGCTTTTGGCCAGGGGCTCACAACCCACAAAACCATGTTGTGAGGGAGGTATTATTTTATTATTATCCTCATTTTTCAGATGAGGAAACTAAGAACTGAAAATGCAAAACAATTTATAAATTCTTACGATAGGTTAAGTGGGAAGTCAGAAATGGCACACAGGTTTTTCTGATTCTAGAATGGTATTTTTTTTTATCCCCTGCCCTTTTCATCTTTTATTTGGAGACAGGATCTCATTAAGTTGCCCAAGCTGGACTTGCATTTACAATCCTCCTACCTCAGCCTCCCACGTACCTGGGCAACATTACAGGGTGCACCACTGTGTCCTGATCCTGGAACATAATGGCTATGCTGTAGTGAACTTCCCTCAGTGACACTTGCTCTGTTCATGTCAAACCCAGAACAGAAACCAGCAAATCTTTCATGGAAGGTACAAGAAAGTAAATATTTTCAGCTTTGTAGGCCATACAGTCTCTGTTATGTCTACTTAATGCTGCCACAGCAACATGGAAAATAGCCATAGATAATTCATAAGCAAATGGGCATGGCTGTGTTCCAAAAAACTTTATTTATAAAACAGGGTGACAGGTTGGATATGGATGAATGTTACCAACTTCTATTTACAGTATTTTGTTCATTCATCCAGTTAGCCAATGTCCACTGAGAGTCTTCCTGACAGTATTCTAGGTTCTGCAAAGTCCCTGCCTTCACAGAGTTTAACTCCAGGCCAAGTCTTACCTGTTCCTTTTGCCCATGCCAGTGTCCTGGAGCTTACTTGGTGCTGTTTATGTTCCCATTAGGTCAGGGTTTTCAACTGGTCTATGATTTCAGATCACTTGGGGAGGTTATAGAACTGTGGATGCATGGGCTCCCCCACACACACTTCCCACCCTCTAGGTTCTAATTTAATTGACATAGCATGGGCGCATAACCACTCCCCCATGTGACTCTAAGGTGCAGCCAGAGTTGAGACCTACAGCTTGGATAAAAGCTTGATTTCTGTGTCTTCCATTTACTTGTTATGTAAAATAGTATGAATCTTTGAAGTCCTCAGAGTCTGGGCTGTAAAGTGTGGTTAATACCAATCTCATAGTAAGATGCTATCTAAATGAAAGTGTGTGCCTTTCATATTGTAGAATGTTACAAAAATTTAAAGTACTGTTGTCATTAAACTGTGCCATTATGATTGGGTTATGTTAGGGGCTGCCTCAATGATTTTTTTTAAAGGTTTGACTTTGATTCTTTGAACAAGACAGTTTTGGGGATTTTCGAAACAAGTTCTGCAGGGAATTCTCTGTTAGCCCAGGTTCATGGGTGAGTAAGACACTGCCCTTTCATTTATCTCCACAAAGAGTCACAGGGCGCTGCCTTTTGCTTGGCTGGGGAGTGCTGAGCTGTGCTCTGCTGCTGTCATGAAGGTCTCCATCTCCAGGCCGGGACACCTCACCTCTGAGCACTGTTGTTAAACCTCAAATAAGTGGTTTGCTTGCTTTGACTCATGGACAAATGTCCAAATCCACGTCCTTTCCTGAGCTTAGAACGGAAGACAGGAAGGGCAACCAAGCACTTTCCTAGGTCCTGTCCATGGACGATTTCATTCCATCTTCAGAACAATGTTGGGAAAACAGAATAATTATGTTTCTCATTTAACAGATGAAGAGGGCTCAGAGAGGCTGAACGGCTTATGGCCTGGTGGTGCCCAAGCTCAAATCCTAGTATGCTTGACTCTACAGCTCTTTTCACAGAACCACAGGGTAGTCTACACGTTATACAGATTCTCATAGACCAAGATTTTTTTTTTTTTTTTTTTGTACCAGGGATTGAACCCAGGGGCACTTAACCACTGAACCACATCCCCAGCGCCCCCCCCTTTTGAGACAGGGCCTGGCTAAATTGCTGAGGCTAACCTTGAACTGTTGATCCTCCTGCCTCAGCCTCCCTAGCCACTGGGATTACAGGTGTGGCTCTAGGCCAAGATATAAAGAGACCTAAAACTACCTAAAGTTTGTTTTTCCCAGGTGTTTGTCTGTCTATCTGTCTCTCCCTCTCTCTGTTAACCTAGAAAGAAGCCCACAACACCAGCTAATGACTTATCAGACTGTTCTGATAAGCCTTGGGCAGCACGCATGTAATCAGGCACAAGTTCAAAGCCAAGACACTTCCTCCCTCCACAACATCTTACTGTGCAGTTTCAGAACCTCATAATGAAATGAAAAACAAACCAAAAAAAATGTGAGGAGCGAGTTGGAGAAATAGATGCTGCCAGGAGGGAGGAATTCACTGACCCCCAATCTGGGCCATCTCAAGAGAAGTTGGCCACTGGCTGAGCCTCTAAAAGCTTAAAAGTCATCCCAGGCCACGGTTAAAGAGAGAGCTCGAACAAAACAAAAACAAATGTGATCTTCAAAGTCTTAAATGTCAACTTGAAGGATAACTTAGAAGCTCTGGGTTGGGCCAAGAGGACCTGCAGCTGCTCTTTCCAGCATCAGATTCTCCTTCCTTCCCCGGAGTAGTCCCTCCCCTGGATAATGTATCCAGCAGGGTTCAGGGGGCAGCCTCCCACCAGCACCCACCTGGCATATTTACAAAGGCTGGAGCCCCCACTCTTCACAGCCCAACAGCCTCTCCCTGACTCTGACCTGAGCACCCTCCAGAAGCAAGGGCTGCCTAGCCCACCTCTGCTTTCAGGTTTCTGCTTCCAGACTCAAGTGGTTCTTGACCACGCCCACCTTGCAACCCTTCCCCCCACCCCTCCCCACTACACACACACACAGCCTGCTCAGCTGCCCTCCTCCCTCCCCACATAGCTCCAACACGGGAATGATTTGCAGGTCAGCTCTCCAGGATGACTGAAGCCTCCTCCATCTCTCAGGATAACGGACCAGGTCATGCTCATGGATCATCCTCATTGTTACCTGTCCTAGAGGAAGGAAGGAAAGGCAACCTGCGCCCTAGCAACTCCAGCCGCTGGCCTACAATCATGGCAAATATGAGGACAGATTGGCGGGGGCGGGGGTCCTTTCCAAATAACATTGGCTACTGCTGGCTGAAAAACTGAAAATTTTTTTTTTAAAATGACATTCAATTTATTAAGTATCCCTGGCTTCCTTCTTGGTCCTTCTGCATAAATGTCATTTTTGTAATAACCTTGAATTTATCTTCAGTTTACAGATGAGGACGCTGAAGTCCAGAAGGAATAAGTAATGCACGCCAGGCTTCCGATTCCCATGGATCTCAGTTCTCTCCCAGAGTGCTCTGCTAGCAAGTCTGCCCTCTTTCCATTGGGCCACGCTGCATTCGAGATCCAGAGGTAAGTGGCACAGGGTCCTGGACAGAGTCTCTGGCTATTAATACCTAGAGGGTCAACTGCTACCAAAGCCAAGGACAACCTCTCCGTTGTTCATTCTGCTGGGTGTGTTTGTCCTTTGAACCATCCAAAATGCCTGAGGATGTACCCTCCTTAATTAATCTGATCTCAGAGAGGATAAAGAGCTGGCCAGAGGCCGGAGCTGATGGAAGGAACAGTAAGATGACTTCCATATCAGCCCACGCGTTGGTGGCCTGGGAATTCATCCTGGGTCTGAGGTGGATGAGATGTCTCTCAGGGCAAACCCAGAGGGGCCAGGATTCCACTCACCCTCTGGAGAAACTCCACACTTTGAAAGAGTTGAAAGCCTAACCCTTAGGTCAAGCTCTCCCTGGGGATTCCTGTGCTGGACCAAGAGTATTTCTAGAAGTCCTATCTGATGGATCTCCTCTGCCCCCCCCCCACCCTGGGGGTATTTAGTCTTCTTTTTTTTTTTTTTAATAATGGGAACAAATGAGAACAGTTCAACATGTTACTTCCATTGGCTCTACTAAAATCAAAGAAGAAAGCCTCACAAAACCCTCACTATCTCTGTTCCCCTAGGAGGCCACCTTAGCCTTTATCTTCATTCCTTACCCTGGACCCAAACCTATTCAGTAATGAGGACAATGTTAAGTCAAAAAACATCGAAGACAGGGAATTGGGAAGAAGATGGACCCGGAGGGGTGTTCTCACAGAGAGCAGTAGTATTTCAACCCACCGGCCCTCGCCTTCCAAAGGCAAAATCATCTACTGGCTTCCAACTACTGGTCCTGCCCTCACAGCCTCCCCCTTCCTGAGTCCTAAGGCTCAGGAGAATTTTCTCTCCCCTTTTTGTCCTGATGGGGGCACAAGTATTCCCTCAGCATCCAAAGATCCAGAGGGAAAGTCCTAAAAACTGGCTGGAAGTTAGGGGCCAGAGTGTGCAGCTACCAGGGAGCAAGACAATAATAGCACAGTTGTTTTTTTAGAGGAAGAAATGGGGGTGGGATGAAGTTCCCAGCCCAGATGAAGAAATGGGCCATTGATGCCTCTAAGCCTGAAGCCATGCCAATCACCACGCAGTCATGTGCGTGCTGTCATCTCGTGGGGACCCGGCGGCCCCTGTTTACACGCACTCTTGTTTACATGGTCCACGGGATGATTTCCTTCTTCCCCACACTCCAGTGGGCGACACACGCCTGAAGTTAAACGAGTCCATGTCTGACGTTGCTGCCTGCTCCGTCTTTTATGGCACTTCCCTGGGGCTCAATTTGTATAATTTCTAAAATCCTTCCCAAATCTCAACTTCCTGTGGGTCTGTTTTTATTTCCAGATTTCCTCCCCGTGTCCCTTCATTCTCTCGTTTTTTTCTAGGACATAGGGAGAGTCCAGTAATCTTCCTCCCACCCAGATGCTGTAGGTTGGCTCCCACTGCAAACTACAAAACCAGAGACCTGGCGAGAGACAAGCTGACAATCCAAGCTCTCTTGCGGTCACTTGCTCCTGGGTCCCAGCTACCGAAACGCAGTGTGTCCTGTGCGCTGTGCAAATCCAGAGCCCGCTGGTCCCTGCCACCCACAGCCCCTAGTTGAACGATGTTCCCCATCTAGGTCCTGGGGGAAAACGGAAATCCAAGAAACTGACACCAAACTCAGAAGTCAGTAAAAACACAAAACTTGAAATATTTTGAAGATGGGAAGTTGCTTTTATTCCTCTGTGGGCTTCCAGGAAAACCTCCAGGGACTCTTTCCTGGAGAGGTGTGATTTTCCTTGCCACCCTCCAGGGAACTTTCTGAATCCACCACGCAACTGTGGAGAAGTGGCCACGGCAGAGAGCAAAGAGTTAAATCAAGCCCAGACCTCAGCAATCTGTGTTCAATTTTGATAAAAATCTCCCTCGCTCTCCCTCGCTGCCCCCCTTCCTCCATCCCACAGCACAGACACATCTCTTTATGTTATGAGTTTGCATCTTGTTTTGGGGACCACACCAAGCACTCTAGGAGAACCCGGAGCTCACACCACCAAGGGCACATGCGGCAGAAATGTCTACCCTGCTCCAGGTTCTTGGGCAGAGTTGGACACAGGGCCACAACCTGGGGTCACCTCCACCTCCTCCATCCTCTGCATCCTCCTTACAATTACCTGCCACCAGACCAGATCCTTCCTTTCCCAGTTAAGTCAGAGACCCGTTGCTGGAAAAGTCAGGAGCACAACCTGGCCTGAGGTGGGGCTCCAGTCACAGGTGCCAAGCGTCCCAGAGATTCCCTTTCTGGGGATGCTCCCAGTCCCATGGCCCTTAGAACAAGAACCTCAGCCCCTGCTTGGGCTGCCCTGCTTGTCGATCAGAGGAAAGGCCTCCAAGTGGAAGCTGGGGGTGGGGGCTTGAGAAGACTGGGGTCCACCCAAGTGAAGGCACAAACTGGACTGGGAAAAGCCACCCTCAAAAGTTTTCAGCTTGGGAGCCACTGTCTATATCTGTCCACTTGTGACAACGTAGGAGTCCGATTTCAAAGCCGCGCACACACACATAAAAAAAATTTTTTTTAAAGTTTTCCAAAGACATTTCCTGTGTCCAGATGTGCCCGCACAGACTTACACAAGCCCAATGCAAACACGCTCAATCACACCCAGACACACACTGGCAGACACAGGCCCCGGGAGCCCGCTCCAGTGTCCGAGCTCCTGCAAACACTTTGGAGAGAGAAACAAAACAACCGGCCCGCGGAGGTGCTGCTCTCCAGTGCGCGCTCCGCAGTCCAAAAGTGAAGGGCGGAAAGCGTGGCGATGCCTCCCGGCCACCGGCCCCGGAGCGCGGCGGGCGCGACACCTACCCCGAGGCCCCCATGGCGCGTCGCGGCTCCGCAGCTCGGGTCTCCAGCAGGGCGGCCGCTGCTCGGCTCTCCGCCGCTCGGCTCTGTCCTCGACTGTACTCCAGAGGAGCCCCGGCGGCTCCCTCCCGCCCGGCCTCGCGCCGCCCGCCCGCCCCGCTCTGACGTCAGGCGCCTTGGAGCAGGATATTTATGGCAAGGATACTCTGAATTTTCCCTAGGTAGAGTTCTGATTGCAGTTCCCTGGGATTTGTAATTTTCACACTTTTAGACAGAACGGAGAGGAGGGAGGGAAGGAGGGAGGGGGAGAGCAGCAGGCAGGGCGAGGCACACAATAAGGGTAGCTGTTCCCCCACTTGGGCAAGGAGTCTTTTCAGGGTTCCCCCTGGTAGGAAGCATGTCAGGGTCAAGGAGGCAAAAGTGGCCACCTGCGTGCTGGGGTTCTCCTCTGCTCCTGCCCTGGGCGGCGGCAAAAGGCTGGTGGGAGCCTAACTGAACAGGAGGGGAAATCCCCTCTCTGCACCAAAGTGCCCCTTCTGGAACAATATGTCCCAAGAAAGTGCCGGGCAAGAGAGGGGAGAGATCAGGCACCATCCAGCAGCTAATTAGAAGCCCTGGTCCACACCCTAACAACTTTTCCATTTCTTTTTTGGGAGTGTGTGTGTATATATATACATAAAAAAGTTTATTTTTATTAAATTATATTCCACACTCCCTGCTTCTGTATAGCTTTTCCAACTGTGTGCCAGTCAATTCATCTTACTTCATTGCTTTATATACATAGTTGGAGCCATTTACAATAGCTCTTATTCATACTTCTAAAACTTACGTTTAATTTTTTTTTTTTAAATGTGATTGTGGTCCATCTCCTTGACTGGATTGGAAATGATCTCAGTCAAAAGCAACCACCTCCTCCATGATTGCCAGCATCCTTCGGGTGAGTCCTTGATCTTCTCCCATTTCCCCCACACTCAGGAGTCCCACTCTAAAAGGCCTCCCTTTCCATCACCATGGTGACTTGTACAGAACCTTCTGGGCATTCGGGTCTGGAATTCAGTAGTTATTTCTCCAGCCTGCTGAAGGAGCTAGAGGAAATGGCTTAGTTTAGGGGCCATCCTCCAGTATGTTTTATTCTTCGTGGCTCCCAAGGATTGGAGAATGAACTTTAAAATGGAACATGATATGCAAATTATTTATCCAGGTACATAACAAAACTGTATGGATATATAGTCCCCTGAAGTAATGAGATGAGGCAAGTTTAAGTGAGAATCATCATTAAAGCACAACTTTTGTGAACCTTCTGTTGCTGAATGGTGTGGAAGTAGAGGAGTTCCTTAACCCCAGCTACAGTACAGGAGAGACCTCAGGACTTGGGATGTATTCAACCTTTCATTTGCAGCTGGTTAGGGCTGCTTGTCAGAAGGAGCCAAGTCTTGGGATTAGCCAAACTGTTTTGATCTGTCCATAGAAGGCCCCCGAGCCCTGCTGTTTGGTTACTGTTGGGTTGTTCTCCTGAGCATCATATCTCACTGTTCCCCCATCTTCTCCCCCAAGACAAGGCTCCATTGGCAAAGTGAGCTCTGCCCTGCAGCAGACACTGTGAATTGGTTTCCAGGACCCCATTGGCAAGCCCCTTCTCCCTTGCCTTCCTGGAATACAGAAGCTGGAAATCTGCAGTCTTCACCACTCCAGGCCCCCCTGTGGCCAGGGACAGCTAGGAGACCCCATTCTGGCCAGTGAGATTAGAATGAGGAAGGCAGGGGGAGCTGCCACAAAACTTTTAAAGAAAAGGTCAGATTCAAGTGGCATGCGCCTTCAGCCCTTTGATGTTTCTTATGCCTCCTTGTCCCCTTTCTTCTCCCCTGGAGTATAGATATGATTCTTGGACATGAGGCAGCCGTCTTGCAACCTTGAGAACAAAAGCCATTTTCAGGAAAGTAGGAGATTGAACACTAGACGACATCCATAAGTGGCTCCACCTTCTTCAGACTTCTTGTTCTATAAGAAAAAGAACCCCCTGCATGTTTGTTACCCTTGAGGCTTCTGCCATTTATGGCCAAATGTAATCTTACCTGATACTCTCATCAATTCACCAAAATATTGGAACAGTTACTGAGCATTAGCTTACCAATGTGACAGTGGTCTTTAACATGATGACTTGCACTTGCTTAATTCTTTGTAGTTTCCAAAACTTGTTCATATATGTCTTCTCTGAACCTCACATCTTTGGTTCACTCTTTTGTTGTTGTTGTTGTAAGGAAAGGGATCTGTGATAAAAGTCTTGCCCAAGACAACACAGTCAGCAAATGAGGGAATTTGGACCGGAATCTAGTTTTCTTACTCCAAATCTGTGTATCTTCTGCAACATCTTTAATAACTAACACACACACACACACACACACACACACACACACACACACACACACCAAAAAAACCTCAATGAAGGATCCTCATAACTCCCAACTCATTGTGAATTCAATTTAATTCAACCAAGATAAAACCAATTTTTGCAAGTAAATTCTAGAACTTAAAAGTGCCACAGTCCACTCACAATTAAGTCCAGTTCCCTTTCTCTCCTAAGCCCCTGCTTTCCCCAGCAACCCTCTGACATCCTGCCCTAAATCCCTGCAGCTGCTCGAAAATCACTTGGACTTTTAGGTGACTCCGATCTTGACATTCCTCATTCTCACATCTTTGGAATGCAGAGACCTTCCCTTTCTGCAAGCACTCCCCTGTCTCCTGGACATCAGCCCATCCCTCCATCCCTCGTGCACTTCTCCTCCTAGTTTCTCTTCTTCTCCGAGGTCAATGTCCCCAGGGTTCTGTCAGCAGCCAGCCCTTTCCCAAGCATCACAGATTTCCTCTAGTGATCTCACCCTTAAATCCTTAATGCCACCATATGCTCAGTGACTGAGAAAGGCAACCATTAGCTCTGCACATAAGTCTGTACTCCTATCACCATTTCCCTCTCAACTTTAATCCTTTTATTCCAACTGCTTATTGTCTGACTTTACTAGTGTATTAAATAAATAAGATCTATTAATTATTATTGTAAAGAAAGAGGACACAGAAAAGTTTCTGAGGCACAAGAGGGTTTTATGAAAGACCCACTTCTATTTATCAGGAGCTATGGTGCCACCAACCTCTCTAGGAAATCACTTCCACACTCTTAATTCCACCACTCGAGTTGCCCAGGAATTAGAGGAAACATAGTTGAACTGATAGAAATTAACAGCAACAGAATAAGTGGGAATGAGTGACTTCAGTCCAGTTGAAGTGAGAGCGAATAGAATTAAAGAAGAGGTGAGGTAGGGTCACAGATTTAAAGATGGCAGTTCAGGGGTGTGACAAGGATGGGAACAGGGGAAGAGAAGAAGAGAGGCTGAGGAGTCATAGAACACAGATGAGTCATCCCCATCCGTGACTAGATGCTCTTACTCAGTAAGACAGAGGATTTTGTGAACTATGTGCCTCTCGGCACTATGGAGCTGTTTTTGAGGTTGGTAAGTCTGAAAGAGTCGTCTCCAAGGTCATCTATTCACCCTCCACCCCAACCCTAACAGAGAGCCCTAACATAGGTAGGGGTCGCTCTTATTCTCAGGACCACGAGGTACGGGCTTCCATCTTTCTTCACCTGTATATTCCAAGACTATTCCCTGAATAATATAAGGAGACAGTGTATAGCACAGTACCCATCTGGAAAAGTGGGCCTGCTTGTTGCAGTGTCCTCAAATAGCTCAGTGACCTTGACACAGATTCCAAAGGCCAACACGTACTTCCAAGGCACAGACTATCTCAGGCTTCACAAAGCCTCCTCCTTGCTTACTTGCTGAGGGTAGAGCTCCTAGTCTACACTTGAGCCATAGCAACACTCAGGAAAGACCAAAGAGAATGCCAAGGATATGTCATCTAACCAATATGATGCTCCACATATGCTTTGGCCCGACTGACTTACGTGGGCTATGGGCAACGGTGGAGGGGATCACATGTTAGAACAGGAGACCTCGGCTGAACCCCCAGCCCACCACTCACTGCCGTGTGACCTAAAGCATGGCAAGTAACTTTCTAAAGCTTACTGTCTGCAATGATTAATTTCATGTGTCAACTTGACTGGGCCGAGGTACCCAGATATTGAGCCCAACATTATCTTAGATGTTCCTGTGAAAGTGTTTTTTCAGATAAGACTAACATTTAACACCACTTGGACTGTTGACCCCCCAGGGTGCTCTGCTCAGGGAGAGGATGAACTCCATTATCAAGGATGCTATTAATACATAGAAGGCAGAAGTTTGTTCTGAACTGGACCCAGTTTAGCACAGACACATCATTCATCAGGTGTTCTGAGCATGGGTCTGATCATAGAGTCATCATGCTTTTCTCACTAACAATAAAGTAAATAATCTTCATTTCTTTAGGATGGGACTCCTCATTGTCTATTATCGAACAGTCACTTCCAAGGACACCCAAAGAGAGAGAAAGCCCATAGCTACTACAATTTCTTCCTACAATGTGTCTTTTAGCAGGACATGAAGTAGATGTTACAGCAGCTTGAAGATATTTTAATCTCTCATCTCGAAGTGTAATAGAAAGGCCTCAGAATATGGTTTTGGAAAATCCTCGTTTTAATCCCAGCTCTGATTCTTGCAGCTAAGAGTATCATTTAGCTTCCCTGCAAAATACTGATTAATAGGAGAATCAATCCATGGTGCTAGAATGAGGATTAAATGATGGGTTATCTGCACCTTACAGATGTCCACTCTTCTTAAACACCTTTTCCTCTCTTCCCCACTTCCCATCTCCGCCTCCTCCCCACCCCCAACACACACCATTCCTCTGTTTGTTAATACCAAGAATGCACTTAACATTAACATTTAATTCCCCAGGTTCCTGGCATCCTGTTTTCTGCAAATCTCTTTGCCCAGAGTTAAGAAATCTCCCCTGGCTCAGACATGACCACACCAAATAGGCAGCGATTGGAAAATTGCCCCCCTTACAGACCGTCTCCTTCGGAGGCAAGGGACTGCATTTTTGAGACGCCTTCTCAGGTTGTTTGCAGCGGCTTTGAGGGTCAGCTCTGCTGCCTTGCCTACGTCAGAGCCCTAAGTGTTTAACCACAAGACACACAATCCTGGGACAGCTTGGCGGCAGCCCTCCATCTCCACCCCCACAGCGAGGCAGGCCACGCGTGTGTCTAATCTGGTATGTGGCCCCCTTCAGAGGCCAGTAAGGCAAACTCTGACCCAATGTGCCACACCTGGCCAGATGTGGGAAGGAATACTAGGCAGTAAGCAGAGTGCTTGAGTGGGCAGGGAAGGGGGTCGAATTTCTTCCTGACACCCCTGCACACACAGTCCATGATCAGAGTCCATGGTGCCCAGGGTGGGGAAGGCCATACCCACTAGTAGACAGAGCTGCTATTTCTGTTATTTCTGGAACCAGAATCTTGCGCTATCATGATCATACACAAAATTATATTTTATCCAGTCATTTTCAGGATGAAATTGTATTGGGGGATATTTAAAAGAAAGAAATCTTCCCGAGAACTATATTGGGGGTGAAGTTGGGCAACACACACGCACACACACACACACACACACACACACACACACAAACACACACCCTTTTTTCCATTGAAAAATCATCTGACACTGTTCACCATGTTCAGGTAGGTGTGACTTGGGCTGCCATATATGTGTGTGTGCAATTGAACAGGGATTTTTGGAAGACTGAGGGACTCCAGGAGAAGCGTGACATGTTTCATCATTCATTGGTTTTGTCTTTTGAAAGAAAATATCTTAAAAATGGTGAAGTGATGATGTTAAGAATCTGTTCTTAATTACCACTCGGTAAGCTGGCAGACTGTTTCATCCCATTCATTCCTTTTGGAAAGTTCCCAGCAACTGGTCTCCTCAGCTGTGTGTACACATCACACACAGATAAAACTCACCCCGAATGCCCTCAGAAGAGCACTGGACATTTGCGTACTTAACGCATCCTTCTCTGTGTTAAATGTTCATAAGCCCAGGTTTTCACAGGGGGTGGGGGTCATAAGCACCTGTTAGGCTTGTCTTACTGCTGTATATCTGTGGTTTGGGCCTCGAGAGTGAAGACCTTTCTTACCTTCCTTAAAAGAAGAAAAAGAATCCCAGTGGCTCAGGAGGCTGAGGCAGGAAGATCACGAGTTCAAAGCCAGCTTCAGCAATGGTGAGGCCCTAAGCAACTCAGTGAGACCCTGTCTCTAAATAAAAAAACAAAAATAGGGCTGGGGATGTGGTTCAGTGGTTGAGTGCCCCTGAGTTCAACCTCCTGTACCAAATTAAAAAAAAAAAGAAGAAGAAGAAGAAGAAGAAGAAAAGAAGAAGAAGAAGAAGAAGAAGAAGAAGAAGAAGAA